AATTATTGACGCAATACCAGCACATGACAGTAGTGTATTTTAGAGAAAATCTGTAATGTTTTTATAAGTTTTAAATACTAATGAAGGATTTAAAAAAAAATTATTGACGCAATACCAGCACATGACAGTAGTGTATTTTGAGAAAATCTGTAATGTTTTATTGAGCTTTGCTCAAACTCATAACTTGAAGTATATTGGGTTCATAATAGGATGGGTACGTTTCAGATTCTATTGAAGTTAATGTTTATCGCAAGATTTCCACAGAACGATCACCTACAGATACAAAGTGTAATTCCGTGCCATAATATCAATGTTTAACATTGGATTCTTATGTCATATGGATGGGCCTTAAATAAACATGCATTTCTAAACTAAGCACTTTTCTGCATTCCTACTTGAATATGCTTAGGGAAAAAGTCAACAATCATTTTGTTGATAATTCAGACTTTCAACAACAAATTTTACTGTCATGCCTCGGATTAAAAGCATCAACGTTGTATTTCATCAAATTCACATTGTTGTCATGGTCACCAGTCAATAACAAAGCAAAAGCATTTTGTGTTTGATATGGCTGGTGATTTAGTAAAAGAAAATTGATTTAGGGATATTTTCATACAGCTGGATCAAAGTTTCGTTCACGTGAGTAACAAGAACGATAAACTGTAAAATAAAATAACTGTTAATCTATAACAGTATAAACCGAAACATTAAGTTATTAATAACAATAATAGTTATGAACATTTAAAAGAGTCTAGTACAAGAAAACTTAGCCTGACGGACAGAAAGCATGGATACCAAAGGAAAACAAAACTAACACATTAAATATTCTAAAATATATATATGTAAATAAACAATTGAATGGATAGAATACACACACTCCCATACACACATATATATGTATATAATAACCATACAAGGAATATTTATATTTTATTCCACAACTAATTCACTATCAGGGCTCACCATTCTGATTCTGTGAGGATTATGATTTGAAGACATAAAAGACAAGAAATCCAATTTATTATAACAAAAAAGGGTTACTAAACGTTGGCTGTCTAAGGGCTATTTCAGTGTATAACGAGCGTCTTCAAATTAAATGTTAACTATGAACAACGTGTTAATATTTTAATGTTGAAAAAGTTATCTTATGATAAGTAGGTTGGCGTCCATCATTAAGATGTTTTTTGTGGCGATATTTAGCTGCACGAGATTTTTTTAGTTCTTACCAAAAGAATCCTCTTCACAGCAGTTACGGCTGTTACTGGATTCTGGGACTCTACTTTATCGTTTCTGTCATATTTGACGTCATAGTGCCACTCGAGAGTGTTGGCCGGCTCTATTCCCCAGAAGGTGATCTGTCTGACAGGGATGGGAAACATACCTGCCTGGATAGGCAAAATCTCTTGCAATGCTTGATGCGGAGAAGTTTCCCAAATTACTCCCTGATCCCAAGGTGTTTCCACCTCGATTGAACGATCTTGATGAAGAGTAGCCTGGAAAGGGGCGCCACCTGCAGAAAAATTCATAAAAACTCAATTATAATGTAAAGCATTTCTTTTGGGTCTGATTACAGACTGTTTTCTTAAAATTCAGTTCTTTATCAACTAGGCGCGTCTAAAACAGACTTCAAAGAATACGGCTAACTATAATAAAATTATTAAAAACCAAAGAGTAAAAGATATATTTCATTGGACTACTCTTACAGTTAATTGACTATAAAGATACATGTAGTAGCGAAGCGACAAATCATAGATATTGGTGGGGAAACACGTATAAAACAGTAGCATAACTTAAAATATACATACCTAATTTATTGATGACTTTTTGGCCTTTAACTGTAACCATTACGTGATTCGTTCCATCTGAATCTTCAGACTTAACTGAAGCTCCTTCTGGGCCTAAATCAAACTCCAGGGACGTCATTCGTCCACTTGGTTTAATCACTCGACTCAGCCGCCCATTTTCGTCATAAACATAGAAGAATGTCCTGCCAGCACCATCAGAGCGGCTGGTTAATAAACCGGTGCTGTCGTAATCGAAATAAGTCTGTAGCCTGTCAGGGTCTACTAGGATTTCCAACAGTCCCTTCTTAGTAACCTGGACGCTGCATTTCAACCCCCTTGCAGTCTCAATAGTATGAAGACTATTTCCGGAATCACGCAAAAACGCAACTTTATTTCCCGAAGCGTCAGTTACAGCCGTGAGTTTTCCATAACTAGTGTTGACATTGTACAAAAATGTGTACTTGGTCTTTCCAGTAAGGACACTTTTTGTCTTTATATGTTGACCATACTTGTTGAAAACGTATATCTCGTGGTTATCCGGGTAGGCTATGTTGAACTCTAGTTTGTCACTAGGCTGAGGGAGGTAAGGAACTGCAGTCAAGATTCGTAAGCTTCCTTGATCAGCAATATGGACTACATTGTCACTAGTAACAGTCAGTGAGGAGACTGCAAACAGTTTGGTCTCCATGGCCAGAGAATTTTCTTTAAACTCACATGTACAGTTTTGCCATGCACATGAGCAGGTCCTGTCTTTCCCAGCAAAGTGTAAAATTTCTCCGTCAGGGGTCACCATTCTGATTCTATGAGCATTGTGATTGACACCTTCGGCGATGTACATTACACCATTAGGACCGAATGCAAAACTGATCAATGAACCAAGAGTCGTTTCGGTCGTCATCCGAGATTTCAGGTTTTGGTGAGTGTTCGTCTTGCAGTAAACTGGTTTTCCGGCAACGACCATCACCCGCTTGTCTTTTGTAAGTTTGAGTACCATGTGGTCATCAATAAAATACAAGGCTCCATCTAGTGGATTTATCGCTAGCTCTGTCGGCCAGCGTAGTTGTACCTAAGGTAAAAGGAAAAAAAAAACCAGATACAGAAAGAGAGTCAAGCCTGACCATAATTTTTCATAAGTATTTATTACATATTACTCAATGTGGGCATATACGTTTCAAAGTACAATATTGGGCATGTATTATCCACATTTTTCGCATAAAAAAAAGTTTGTAATATACAGTTCGTTACTTAATCTAGCTAGCAAATGGAATAGGCACTTGTATCAAACCAGATAAATTTAACAGTAGGTCTCCAGAACATACACTGAGTTCGTTCTGTGTGTCACATAAATATTTGGAGAATTCCAACGAGTATATTTAGTGACTCAATTTATGTATTCCGATTGAATTTGTGCGACTTTTATTAGAAATATCACTGTTATTGCAAGTTTTGACTTTGTACGTTGAAAATGTATAAAACATTAATGCTTTATATTTAGTATTGTACACTGATCATTTAACATTCGTATTTTTGTTTCTTTTCTTATAACAAAGCCACATAGGACTATCTGCTGTGTCCACCGAGAAGAATCGAACCTTTGATTTTAGTGTTGTAAATTCGAAGACTTATCGCAATCCCACCAGAAAATGACTTTCATATGTCTTGATAAAAACTTAATCACCAAAGCTGAACATGTTTTCGTCACACAGTGAATAATAAGGTTTCTCTACACTTCAAATTCGACAGTTGAATGTAATATCTTTTGTCAATACTGAACATCAGAGTTTTTTAACTCTTGAGAATACATTGAGCGTTATCATTTCAAGAGCTCTACTATTGGACTTCCTATCGATATGTCATATATATATATATATATATTTAGTTCAATGGGTATTTGTATTGGACGTTAAAATTTAATATATATATATTCTATGTTTTACATTGAAGCATCATTGATCCATCTTTTGCCTTATGAAAATTCCAGTTTTATAACTTGTTTTTATGCTACCGCTGTCAAATAGTATGTAGGTGAAGCATGCAGGACAAATATTCTTTGAAACGTGACGAGAGAATGAAATGAAGATGATGAAACAAGTATGATTCCACAATCCCTCTGGGATGCGATGCAATTTTCTGGTGACTTTTCTTCAACTAATCCATCAGTCAAATTCCCTGGATCATACACTCGCACCCTACTGTGAATACCCTCTTCATAGAGTAGATGATATAGAATCCTCAAGGGATGCATTTATAGATGACAACAGGATGCTTTAGAAACAGCGATACACCTCACATCAATAATGCAGAGTCTGCTATAACGTAAGGGATCCAATATCAGCGTTGCGCTAAGTTTGGAAGGAAAGTACTCTAGATCATTTTAATCAAATTCTGAAAATATTCTTGACTCAAACTTTTTAGATTGTAACTTGAGATTAGATCAGGCTGACGAAAATGTTGAAGAGTATATCGATATCTTTTTATATAATTTGTTACTGCTTTACAGAATCATACAGATTAATTTATTGCTTACTTCGAATACAGCATCTATTTCATTAGTTTTCGGAGGAGCAACTAAATTTCATTATATTAATAATAAGGCAACTTGTATTACGAATTCTGATGATATTAAGTTACATTTAAAGTTCGTCATTCCCATAATCAGTTTGTAGTGTTATAATTAGAGGTAAAATAAGACTTCTATGAAGTAACGTAATAACCAGTTTTAAAGTAGATGGGAATAAGTCGCTCTCATGATCTCAATTTGTTACGCTATAGCTTGGTGTTTAATGTGGAGATCTAAGTAACTTCATTATTGCCAATATACGTTGAAAGATAATTATTAAGTATGCTATAACTAAGTCACTTCCAATTACATACGTAATGGTAAAGCATCCAGGAAACTTTATGAGGAATCTCGGGTCGCACAACTACGACCACTTACATATTCTCACCAATAATCTACGACCATTTCCATTTTCTCACCAATAATCTACGACCATTTACATTTTCTCACCAATAATCTACGACCACTTACATCTTCTCACCAATAATCTACGACCATTTACATTTTCTCACCAATAATCTACGACCACTTACATTTTCTCACCAATAATCTACGACCATTTACATTTTCTCACCAATAATCTACGACCATTTACATTTTCTCACCAATAATCTACGACCACTTATATTTTCTCACCAATAATTTACGACCATTTACATTTTCTCACCAATAATCTACGACCATTTACATTTTCTCACCAATTTTCAGATGACTCCGTGCAGCAAATCTTGAGAGTTCTAAGAGCTCCCTTGATCCACTGTTTGGTGGTCTCACTATAGACATTTCGAAAACGTAAACGTGTATGCGTATTTTGAACGATCTCTTAAATGTCTGTGCTAATTTTAAAGCTAATGAATCTACTCCTGAGGGTATACCTACCTTCTATGATCCCCATAGGGAGATTCAAATTTTAAAATTTCCAAAGACTGACTATAAAAACTGTTTTGAGGAGCTCTTTACATGTTAATATCAATTTTCAAGTAAATTGGTTCAGCCAAACCTGAGAGCACCCCCAACCTCTTTTCATTCCCTATTTTTTATACCACCCTTCAGGATTCATGCTAGAATTGTTTTTGTTTATATTATGTGGTGGACAAGATTCTATACGCACTGTGTGAGGAGAGTTTACTGTGTGATAATTACTGCATACATACATAAATATCACATCATGGGAAAAAGTTGAGGTTTTCCTTATCCTTTCCACACACACCCACACCCCCCATATATATATATATGTACACACACACACATATATAAACTCATCTTACCCAACAAGCTCGAAACGTAAGTTATAAAATGTGTGACGTCATAGCTTAACAAGTACAAATAATCAATTCAAGGTATTATTATTAGTAGTAATACTTATGCGAACACACAAATTGTTGGTTGTTGTTTTTATTGTATTACTCGGGTAGACCTCACCTTTTACATCTGTAATCGAAAACACACCAGTTGATGGTTGTTGTTTTTTATAATAACACTTTTATATCTGTTATAGAGAACACACCAACTGATGTTTGTTTTTTATTGTAATATTCAGGTAGAGTTCATGTCTTATATCTGTTACAGAGAACATACCAACTGATGTTTGTTTTTTATTGTAATATTCAGGTAGAGTTCATATCGTATATCTGTTACAGAGAACATACCAACTGATGTTTGTTTTTTATTGTAATATTCAGGTAGAGTTCATATCGTATATCTGTTA